CCCCACCCTGCAACCCACCCCGCCCGGCGCGGGTGCTCGGACTCGGGGGGTCCGCGGCCACCGGTTCCCAGCACCTGGGCAACGCCGAGGTTCGGGGCGGGGCCGGGGGTCTCCTCGGGACCGGATCCGTGGCTGGAGTCCGGAACCCTGAACTTGGGGATCATTTTCTGCAGGAGGCATCACCAATGACGAGGAAAGAAAAAGTGGGGACCACTGGGATACTTGGTGACACGCGCCGGGCGCCGTCTTGGCAGTGCCCGGGTCGCCCTACCATCGCCGATTCCAATGAACAGAGGTCTGCTGGCCGCGGCCCAGGCCCGGGGCGGAGAGGACACAGATTCCTGCCCGAGGAGCAGTGAAAGTCTAGTCCAGACAAGACCTGAAGATGACGGTGAGACCGCTGCAGTGGTGTCTAGCGAAGGTCCCTCCAGAGCCTTGGGACCGGCGGTAGGCCACCAGCTGGCTGCTCCTCCGGCGGCGGCGGTGAGCACTTCTAATAAACCTTCACATCCGGCCCCCACGCCGCGAGCCCCGTGCACCCAGTTCGGGTTGTGCCGAGCTAGACAGCTACACTAACTACTCTCACATCCTCCTCCGTGGCAGATGCTGTCACCTATGTATTCTAGGCTACCTGTCTCGTAACTAATCGTCACTCCTATTTGATGATAGAGTTGGTCCCTGGACTGTGAATAAATGACGAGTACAAAATCAATTCCTCGGAAAAATATAAGGGAGGGGTAATTAAATTCCCAGCCATAAAGCAAGGGTTAACGCACTGCCCACATCAGGCGACTCAGTGGCACCAGAGGCCAGGAAAGATCCTGGGCTCACGGCCCTTTTTCCTTTAGGACCTTAGGACCACAGGGTGCTCTTGCCTGCACGGACCAGAAACAGCTCCTCTCTGTGTCTTTGGGTGGAGGTCAGAAAACAGAGGAAAATTAGGAAATATTTGGTCCTCTGAAGCCTTGGATCCCATGGAAGGAAACTTCCTGAATGGAAGCCAGTGAAAATCCCCTAGGAGCTGGGGAAGTTGAGTTAGAAATTATGGAAACTTATGTTTAAAATGGGGCATGCTCTTCTAAGACACCGCTGTGATCCAGTCATTTACCAGGAAAACAATAGCAAGCCGGAAATCCTTCCAAATTTTAAGGAAATTGTAATTTAGTAACTGATTCCAGGGACTAAGGTGGTTGCCAACTAAAATGGGTGTTTCTCCCCTGAGTTTTATCGGAATTCTTCAAAATAGGAAATGCCTGGGTCAAATCACTTGCTCTACCTTGTGGGATGATCTTCAGGTCTGCCAAAAGAGTGAAGCAAAAGCAAGTTTGATGTCCTGAAACAGGAAGTCAGAACAGTTACTGGGCTTCTGGTTACCTTGGGGGTGAAGGCAGATCGATGCAAGTTGCTAATAAAGGCTGTTGGGAAAAGGGCAAATTTGCCTTTTCTGCCAGAGCAGAGGATGTGGGGTTAAGGTTTTCAGTTCCCCAGGGACATTTGTGCAGGCAGATGTGAATTTGGGTGTGTGGTGTCTGAGAGCTCACAAGGCAGAGACCGCTGATGATGGTTTAATCATTCGTGGGCAGCTATGCTGCACATCGGCTGTCCAGGGCCCGTCTTCCCTTGGGGTCTGTGGTGGTGAGGATTTGGGGTGAGGGTCATTTGACTCAGGCTTCACATCCAGGAACAGACTTCCATGTGGACTTTGGACATAACATCCTTGTAAACATTAGAACTTTCTGTTTTGTGCTGGAATTCTTATTTGCAACCTAGCTAGGTGATCTACAGGACTGATGCAAGTGAGGCTCTAGAAACACAAAGGACCAGAGAACCAGCATTTGGATCACAACTGACAATCTAAACAGATCTGGTGTGAATATGAGAGTAGAAATGAGATCACACTGTGTCTCTGGAGAGCAGATGATGTTTGGGTCCCCTGTAAATGGCTGGAGCGCCTCTCTCTTGCCCCTGATACTCAGGTGCTGGAGCTGGAGACGCAGGGTGGCAAGGCCGGGGTGCTGCAGGGTAGTGGCTGGGTCTCCACTGCAGGCCAGGCTCGGAAGTCCTTCTAGAAGGGCAGCACTCCCTTCTGGATGCTTGTCACACAGACAGCTGGCTCTATGTCCAGAGTGTCCCCTTGAGAAGCTGACTGATAGTAAGATTGTCTTGGGTGGAGTGGTTTCTAATTAAACATCTTACCCCACCTTGGGAAGACAGGACAGGAATCAGAAAAAAACTGTACAAGTCAAAACTCTGTTCAGGAAAAAAAGTGCTTTTCTAAAAGGATTCAGTTTTTGTTTGTTTTGTGGTACTAGGGATTGAACCTAGGGGTATCCTGCCACTGACCTACATCTCTGTCCTTTTTATTTATTTTGAGGCAAGATCTTGCTAAGTTGCCCAGGCTGGCCTGCAACTTGCTGCATTCATCAGCTTTCCCACCACTGAGACACAATATGTGATATTCACAACTTAAAGGAAGAGAGGCTTAATGTGGCTCTCAGGTTCAGAGGGTTCAGTCCATGGTCACAGGCTCCAAGTCAGAAACATGGCAGAAGGGCCTGGTGGAGCAAAGCTTAGTCCATAACAGCCAGGATACAGAGCAGAATAGTATCAGAGAGGAGGGGGTCAGGGGCCATATATACAGTACCAAAGTCACACCTCCATGAGCCACACAGACACACAAGAAAGTGTGCTTTATTAATATGCTAGGTGTTCCTTAATCCAATCAACTGGACACATCATGATTAATGGCCACACTTGAGATCCTCCTGCCGGAGTGACTGGGACTGCTGGTATGCACCACCATGATCTGCTCCAATTTTTTTTTTTTGGTACCAGGGATTGAGCTTGGGACCTTGTGCTTACAAGGCAGGTGCTGGAACCACTGAGCTAAATCCCCAGCCCCTGCTTCAATTTTTTTTTTTTTTTTTTTGGTACCAGGGATAGAACTCGAGTCCTTTTGCTTTCGAGGCAGGCAGTGGAACCACTGAACTAAATCACCAGCCTTCAAATGTTTTTTATGTGACCTTGAACTTAACCATGAGGTCCTGAGGGGAAGGAACTGATCTTTTGTCTGATTACGGCTTGTGCCCTGTGCCATAATTGGAAGGGACTGGACAGCTGTGGCCTTATCCTGGGGTTAGAGCCTTGTAGCTTTTGTGGAATCGGATTGAGGTGCCTGTCAGGAATGAAACAGTAGGGTGCAGTGCAGAGTCCTCAGCAGAGGCAAGAGTGAGTGGAAAGATGACTTGCTTTTGGGGATATTGGCAAGGCTGCATGGGCCTGGCATATGTTGAAGTGTCACTCAGCATACAGATTTCCACTCCTTAAATCCCTAAATCTAGGAACTGCGACAAAGTGGTCTGATTACAAGCCAATAGTCTCATTCCTTTGACACTCAATACCTTCTCTCAATGACATTAATGACTCTATGTCTGCATTGGTTGCCTGGTGTTAAATCAGGCTGCATAATACTCAGGCAATGACAATGTCAACTGCCTGTAAGATCCCCAGCACGGTGGCAGAGCTCAACAAACAGGGACTCAAGAATAACCATATTGGGGCCAGGGATTTAGCTCAGTGGTTTCGCCACCTGCTGTGCAAGTACAAGGACCCAAGTTCAATCCCCAGTACCAAAAAAAAAAAAAAAGAAGAAGAACCATATCATGCCGGAAATGTAGCTCAGTGGCACTGCGCCTGCCTCACAAGCACAAGCTCCTGAGCTTGATTCCCGGTGCAAAAAAAAGAATAACCATACCAGAAGATCAGATTTTTCCACATTCTCTCTTGCCAAAGAAAATTACTGGGACATAGTTATTAGCAGGGTTCCACAGAAGGGCAAACACCACAAATGGTTAGTGGAAAGAATAATGTGACACATTACCAGAGTCACACATAAATCACAGGAGGGGGAAATAGGATGCAGTGCACTAAAGCAAACCGATTTCATTGGTAGAGAAGATTCTGGGAAGAAGCAATAAAAATATCTTAACTCACTTAAAACAAGAGTCAACAAAGCAATTCCCAAGCACAAAAAGTGTCAGAAAATCACTGGCTAAGTGCACATTGTCTGGGAAAAATATGTATATTTTTTAAAAAGAGGGCCGGGGATTTAGTTCAGTGGTTTTACTGCCTGCTGTGCAAACACAAGCACTGGAGTTCGATCCCCAGTACCAAAAAAAAGATGTTGAAAAGAGGATGCAATAACCAAAGATTCAGCCAGGCATGGCGGTGCAAGCCTGTAATCCCAGCACTTGAGAGGCTGAGGCAGGAGAATCACCATGAATTTGAGGCCAGCCTGGGCTACATAGTGAGTTCAAGATCAGCCTGGAAAACACAGCAAGATCCTGTCTCAAAAATTTTTTTTGATCTATTAATACATCATGTTAATGAAAGAGAAAACTCACATGATCGGGCTGGGATTTAGCTCAGTGGTTCCACTGCCTGCCTCACAAGTGCAAGGACCCGAGTTTGATCCCTGGTACCAAAAAAACAAACAAACACATGATCCTCTTAACAGGTATCTGACAAAATTCAACACCTCTTCACACCAAAAACAACCCACAAACTAGAAATAGAAGGGGGCCTCCTCAACCTAATAAAGGGTATCTATAAAAAGACCACATTATACTTAATAGGGGAGGACTGAAAGTTTTCCCTCCAGGTATTACAAATAGCCTTTCTCTCTAGGCTCAGGAGCAAGATACTTTCTCACTACCTCTATTCAACACTGTACTCAAAGTTCTACTGGGCATGGCTGTGC